GTGCCACTACATATATTTTTGCAAACCTTAACGCAAAGTTAATTTTTATACATGCTGACTTTTGCGTAAAATATGGAACCGCACATTTTTTGTGCACACGCCGCTTTACGCATGAGGCCCCATGTGCTTTAAAGCAAGTCAGGTCAACTTATTTTCTTTCTTCTGATATAAGATCGTCTTAATTTGACCACGTCCCCTAAAGATGCTCAAAAAGTCACAATCTTGATAATGTTTAATCCTCCATCCCTTAAACGCATACTGACCAAATATGAGGCTGATAACTTGAAATCCCTAGGAGATATTCGCCGAAGTTCGAGGTGTTAACATGAGAAATGGCAAAAAAAAAAAAATTCTTTGACCCAAAATGGACACCTCTCTCTACATTGGGCATACCTTCAAGAGGCTTTTTTTTTTCTTCTTTCAGGCGATCTACCTACGTACTATGTACGGTCTATCTCATGTTGGGGGCGCAGTCTGCCAAGCCCACTTGTGATTTCATTAAAATTAGTTCATCTCATGCAGGGGACAATTTTGGGCAAAGTTTGGTGAGTTTTTGAAAATGTTTAAGCCCCCAAATTTGAAATTTTGGGCAGAAAAGAACAACAAAATGAGCAGAAATAATAGGCCTTCGCAGCGCTTCCTCTGCTTGGGCCTACTAAGCAGCTCAAACATACAAAATAAAACTCCTATTGATGTGACTTCTGCTTTGGCACAGCAGGCCTCTCTATTGTTACTCTATTGTTTACCTCCATTCACAATCTCCATATTACATCCTACTCTGAATTCTGGCTTTGCTGATCAAAACGTTAGAACTTGTCAGAAGAAACATGTTGGTCCAATTAAACTTACTTTAAAACTAAATCTGCCAGATGTATGATCAATTTGGGGCTTAAATACATTTCAGTCCCAATGTATTGGGGCTGAAATGTATTGGGGCATTTGTATTGCCACAATACAAATGCCCCTGTCAGCAGGTCAATTTGTTGAGTCAAATTGACCTTTTAACTCAACGGGTCAATTTATCATGGACCTGTTGAATGCAACACATGAATAGAAATAAAATTGTGTTTGTTATGGAGACAACAAAGATTCAAAGAAGGTCAAACCTATGATATATTTCAGGTTAAAGTAAATCCAAGTCTAATCGTACTCATCTGAACTGTGATATTAGTTATTTTTTTAATGCATCTGCAGGTAACAGATAACAGGCACAATGATTTCCTATACTTGTTTTTAGGCTGTGAAGTGGAAATTCTGAATGTCCGTCCAGAATTCTGCAAAGAATATGTTACCAGTCCATCAGAAGAAGATCTTATGCATTCGATAACCAGTTCACTTGCTGCCTTGAGGTAAGAAGACTTTTTTTCAAACATAATATCTTATAAAGATATTATAAAATAAAATCTATAAGACTTTGGCAACACATATAATACTCACTTGTAAAAAAGGTTCACTTTTTTTTTTGTTTAATTGTGTGATTTATTAACAAAAAGAAAAATACTCTTAGCATGCACATGCAGTTTCCCAGGGTCCCTGTCCTGCTGGCCACATTATTGATGTATTGCTATTCATCAATACACCTTTATTGAAAAAGAAAACAGTGGATAGTTTAGTAAAAATAATATGGATTCTACAGGTTTAAGGGTTTTCAAACTTTAATCGCAATTTATTGTGTCAACAGTAAATAAAAATCATAAAGAAATTTATCAGAATCATTTTATTGCCATAGCCAATAAACATGTTTACAGTCTAGGAAATTGCTTTGATGTAATGGCACAAAAGTAAATAAATAATAATAAATAAAACATGAAAAACTAAAATATACAATGTATCTAGAATTCTGATGGAGTACTTGTCCTTTAAAGGTGGCGGTTGTAGCCGGTCACCTTATTAGAGGCACACAATGCGATTTGGTCTGTCTGTCACTGGTTGTGGCCCCTGGGTACCTTATGGTGATAGAGGAGGTGAGGATGGAGATGTGTGTGTGTGTGTGTGTGTGTGTGTGTGTGTGTGTGTGTGTGGTTTTGTTTTTTTCACACACACATAATTTGTGTAAAATGTGTATATTTTTGATGGAATTCAATATATGACTTAAATGCAGTGTGTAAATTATTATTCCCAACTCCAAAGTCACTGCAAATATATTTTTTTCTGTGGCTTCAGTCCCATACTCCTGCCTTTTTCTCCTCTCCTTTTTTAAAATTGATTAATTACAAATGCATGTTCAATCAAGTCTTACAAATTCCCAAAAAGTCAACACAACGAATAACTTTGTTGGGCATTTAGTCCAGCACTGGGGCAGAATGATGAAATTAAAGTCCAAAGTTTTCTCTGCAGCTGAACCATTTCTGTTTGGGGCCTGAAAACACAGAAATGCTGCATTTACAAGGACAATTAGAAAAATAAATAGAAATGGTTTTTCTAACTTCAACATCAGACCTACATCTTTATTCACAGACAAGTGTGTATGTTGAAAATAAAGTATTCTTGACCCGAACCCCTCCTCCCCCCAACACCACCCCTTTATTATTAGACCAAGGGTTGCCGGACTAATGATAAATTGTTATATTTAGCTAAATATTATTGTTGAGGGGCACAAGCAGGTCTCCTGACGCACAGATAAAAAAATGTGAAAAACAAGGAGAAAATTGGGAGGGGGTAAAAACCCCTCAAAAAGGGCACTTGGGGCATCAAGGATAAAAGGGGCAGGGTCTCAAGCCCCCAGCCCCACCCTCCTCTGCACATGTTTGAGGCTCTTTGTTTTGCTTCATTTGTTTTAATATACATTTTTTCAATACTATTGGTTAGAGATTTGTTATAAAATGCTTTTGTTTTGTTTTTTAGTTCAGGAAAAGCAGACATGGCAGCTGTTTACTATGAGAAAATAGATGTGGAAGGACATCACTTTGGCCCAGAGTCTCTTCAGGTCAAAACTGCTGTGCAACACCTCGATCTCACCATGCAGATCCTAAACCAAAAAATCAAGGTAATAACATCACTATTGCTTTTGCAGATTTTTACCTTTATATGTGTATCTATGTACTTGATGTATGCTTCTTTTTGGTAAGTCTAGTGTCAAGACTGTTCACTTCAGTTCAGACACATGAACTGAAATGTTTAAAATGAAGATTTCTCCCTGTTCTACATATTTTTTTTCTGTAATAAGTCAAAAGGAATGCACTAAAGCCCCGGCACAACATCAAAATTGTCCACAGATGATGTACAAACACTAAAAAGTGTTGAACAAACTTAAAATAATGTCTTGCATAGTTTGTGGAAAATACTTTTTTGGTAATAACTTCCAGACTTAGATCTTATTGAGAAACTGCACACATGCATTGCACAAGGATTTGGAAATTACGAACCTTTTTACAAGCCTTTATTGTTAAACTAGCTGGTTTTAGGCCTTTTTACACAGTCTTTATGCTTTCAAAATTTACTCCCTGTACTATGCCACTTCATTTAAGAAATTAACTTACTTTAATTTATTTCTGTCTGGGAACCACTGGGGCTCTTACAGGCATCTGGTGTGAGTTTCATGTTGATATGAATGTTAAAAACACATTCAGCTATACTGATTTCACAAGCGAAATAAGTGTGTGTGTGTGTGTGTGTGTGTGTGTGTGTGTGTGTGTGTGTTAATTTTGTGTTGCTTATTTTCTTTCAGGACAGCAACCTGGAGAATCAGCTAAATGTGATGTTATTTTCAGATCATGGTATGACAAAGATCCAGTGGATGGAGAAGGTGATAGAATTGGACAAATATATAGACATGTCAGACATTGTGAAGATAATGGATAGAGGACCAGTAGTCAGCCTGTGGCCTAAAAATACCACATACCAAAAGGTAATCCTGTCACTTTTTTCTTTACTCACATGTTTTAATAATAAAACTATACATAAATGTTGCAGTTTTGTTGCCTCAGAGCTTTGATAGAGAACATTAGCTTACACAGTGTCATAAAAATAAGGACCACAACAAACATATCAGGAACAAAGATGAATCAAATTTAAACCAATGTTTTGTTCTAAAATAAAATCCAACAATTTTATTGTTGGATTTTATGTTTGTCATGGAAAATACATGACAAACATACAAATTAACTTACTCTACAAATCCATCAGAATTGACAGGCAGACAAGGAGGAATTAAGAATTCTGGTTCTGTTCTCAGGACTTTTCAAGGATTCAAGGATTTTTTTATTGTCATACCACCTTGATCATTTGTGGTATGAAATTTGTACTCAGGTCCCAGAATTTACTACACAAAAAATCGATAAATAAACAATGAACAATAGAGTAATTTAAGTGATACATATGTAGTTTCTGTGTCTGTGTGTAAATAATCCCTGAGGTGAAGCTGTATTTAGTGCAGCTTGAGTTCAGTAGTTTGACGGCTGAAGGGAAGAAACTGTTCCTCAGCCTCTTGTATTAAAAAAAAAAAAGATTTTCTTTTGCCTAAATTTGTTAGTTTGCATTCATGTTATTTATTTATGTTAACTTTCTCATTTTAGTCTTTAAAATACTAGAATTTGCTCAATGTTAAATTTAAAAAAAATATTAATTCAGAGTAGTTTTATTTCCAAATATTTTTTTATTCATGGCAACGTTCTCGACAGATCGTTTTACCTCATGCAAAGGAGTTTCTGACTCGTTGATGTCTCCTGCCTCTGTGGAGCGTTGCACCTTCAAAATAAAAAATGTCAAAATCAAATAGTTTTCGCAACTGTGGTGAATTTCTTGGGTGGAACAAATGCACCTGTCTCTAATATGGGGGGACACGTCCCCTCCGTCCCACCTGGTTCCTACGCCTATGATGACATTTCTGATTGCTAATTAGTAGCCATTTCGGAGTTGCTTTATAAAATTAGTTTTTTGAAGTTGTGAATGTTTCTGTTTGTGTGTATTATCAGGTCTATGCTGCCTTGAGCCGGGTCCATAACATGCGTGTCTATTCCAGGCAGGAAATCCCTGAACGGTTCCTTTACAAAAAAGGGAAGTTTGTTTCCTCTCTTACTTTGGTTGCTGAACCAGGCTGGTTTATCACTAAGGTATGAAATAGCATTATATCAACATATGTAATTTTTTATTTGTCATCTCATCTTTTTTAGAGTACTTGCCTACGAGAATAGAACATGATTATGCAGCTACTAGTTTAGTTACAAAGTAAAAGAAATACCAGAGTAAAAAAAAACAACCTCACCTTAAATTCAATGTATTTACTTACAAAATTGCTCATTTGCAATTGCAAAATAAAAAAACTGTAACTGCCCAGGTAAAAAATAAATATACTAAGCATGTTAAACTTCAGCATACTTGAAGCCAGACTAACCGTCAGGATACTTTAATATGTTATTTTGGAACAACTAATTTTTTACTTGGTGTATTTTAGTGGTAATTCAATTGTAGTAAATCACTATTTAAAGTGTACTAAGTGTACTATAACGTGCTTTTTTGGAACAACTAACGGTATTCTTTGTATAAGTATGTGGCTTCTTGTCTAATATAAACATGCTTGGTTAGTATATCTTAAGTATACTATTTTTGTGATCGAATTACATTTAAAATATCTTTAGAATGTATAAAATAAAGAGTTAAGAGGGATTTAATTTTTGTACATAGTCACACTTATTCTCCAAGTTACTAGTATAAGTTTCATATCAATAAGACAATATTTGGGGAAAATAGATGGGGCATGCAAATATCGGCAGGCTCAATCCCATATTGCCAAAAACTGCATCCCCCTCCAAATTCAAAGAAACAAAGAGCTAAGAGTGAAATAACCTTTTCTACATGATCACACTTGTTCTCTGAGCTACTGGTATAAGTTTCACATCAATAGGACAATAGACGGGGGATGCAGATATTGGCTCCGAAATTAAAATACATCCCCTCCTACATTCATAGACTACTAGACATTGAAGGTTGATATCACATTTTCTTCATAATGGGCCTCTGTTTTCTCATGTGTTAAGCTATTATTGTGTGTTACGACTGGCTCAAGGTCATAACAAAAACGTGAAACCATGCCGTGGTTAAAGTGCATACAAATGAATATTAACAAAAACAATAATGGATTGTGGATATCAGTATCAGTAGTGTAAAGCAAATGCTTGGATGTGTTGTATGAGTGCATATGGAAGTGTTGAGGTGCCAAAACAAAGACAAACTCAAAAGTGCAACAGGAGGGGAGCTGAGGCCTGGCCACCAAACACCACAAGCGTCAATCGGCAGAGTGGACGCTGAAGGCGACCCAGAAGACGGAGACAGGCAGGTTCAAGTACTCTGCGCTCCAAATGAACAAATCAGCAGCACCTGTAAAGGGGAGGAGCACAAAGACAGGCAAGTCCTGCAACCCAGGCCCTCAAGGCCTGGGTTGCAGGACCCAGGCCGTAACAGTGTTAAAAGAAAAAGCGGGAAATTGCAACGTTCAACTCGTATGTCTCAATAAAGGTGTCAAAACCGTATTTATTTCAATTCATCTGTGAAATAAAACCTACCGTTTTAGAGCTTACATGGTTAAGAAACACAATAATGTTATGAATATCTTTAAAAGTTGCCTCTTTGGTCATATTTCAGTCTGTTTTCTCATCAATATGCAAGAGTTTAGAGCGATGCGCCTTCCCGCGACAGGACCTGCAAGGCCCGGTCCTAATGCTCAGTGCTCACCCTGCACCCCTCTGTGAAGTGTGGATTCAGTCAAGTGCACATAAGGGTTCGAGTACGTAGGTTTACAAGCGTGTAAAGATGTGAGAATTGGGACAGAATGTGTCGTAACTTTGACATCCAAAATGCTGGGACTGGTCATTGTTTAGGCATTTGTGCTGCTAAAAAGTACAACTACAACAAAACAAATTATTTTAAATGTACAGTAAATGTATTTTTGCTTTTCTAAGTCATTGGTGGAGATATTTGTTGGAGATATGCATTTTTGCTATGACTTGTTGAAAACAGAAAATTGTATGTAATCACACATTTTCAGTAGAGTGAAACAAAAATTATTTCAATACTTTACTTTGAAAATATTTTAGCTTCCTCAATGAACTTTGCCATATTTCCAAGATGGCAAAAAATACATATTAGAATGTACTAATAATCAATTTAACAGTCTGCCATTTGACTAATTAGAGACACGATTTATGTTTACTCAAAAGTTAGTTTGGTATAAAGTGGAGCTAATATGCCAACAAAGATCAAGTTAAGGACAAACATATGGCATATATAAAAAAATGCCAGATGCTACATTTGAAAAAAAAAGATTAATGGAACTAAAATGTCATTTTTAAAGAAACTATGAATGTTGTGACTTTATAGACCAAAAATGTTGCAAGAAATTCATAAGGAACTCTGACATCAATTTTCTTCCCCTCGACCCTGAGAAGAAAACGATTGTTTAAAAATCACAATGATATCACAAAAAATAAGAACCAGATAAGCTTTCTATTCCCCTCCCACAAAAAACTTAAGATATTAATTTCCTTATTAAGTATAAAGTTTTCCCTATAATGACTTTCTGCAAAAGAAATTCAAAATAAATATCGGTTCCTTTGCGTTTTGTGGCTAAGTTTTTGAGACGATCCACTTTTTTCAACCACAACTTCATTGTTTTTAGAACGATTTTTAAAAGTGGGTATTCTACAAGAAATCTATTCCATCTTTAAGTTTTAATATAATAAAATTTGGTCTTCTAACAGGGGATGAACAGTTAATTTATGATATATTTAATCCTCTGGCTAAGTTTTAGTCACAAACATTACTTTCTAAAAATCACCTCAATTTTTTAATGCGAAATAATTTTAACCTTTGCAACCTTTAAATGTTGCAACATCATAAAAGCCCAATGTTTATACTAATATTTTAATATCTTAATTGAAGAATTTGTCTTGCATTTATGACTTTTTTTTTCTTCTCTCACAGTTAGTTTGTGACTATTCTTTATTTCTTTTTTCTGCTCAGTTGATCATATCAAACTTTTTATTATCGTGTGCCTTGTCATGCTATTTTCTTTTAATTTTCAATAAAGACTTGAAAAAAAACCAAAACATTGCCATGAAGCCGCCTTTTAACTCAAAACGTCACATGCAGCAATGAATTGTGGGTAATTCACTTCGCCGAAGTCCATAAAAATGCGGACTTTGTGTAAGGGTGGAAATGGGACCCAAAATGGGCAGAGTGAAGGGTGGATGTGGAGAATGTTGGACACACTCCGACCTCTAACCTTCAGGATGAAGGCGCATTTGAAGGACAAGGGCGGAACGAGGGAGGGAGCGCGAGTATTGGGACAGGGGATATTCTCAGCAGGGATGCGTTTCTCGCCATAACACCAGCTTTACAGCTGTTCTATTTATAGCACTTTTCAAAAAAACTGAAAGTGTGCATTACCGCCACCATCTGGTCTGGAATGCGAACTGGAGCTAATGCTAATAGCTAATAGATAGATCTTACATCACACATCTGAAAATGGACAGGGTAGAGACAGCTTCTGTGTTTCAGTCCATTGACTGCTGGTATGAGTTTCATATCGATAAGATAATATTTGGGTAAAATACACATTGCATGCAGATATTAGCAAACTAATAATTTACTTTGCCAAAAAAATGCATCCCCCTGCTAACATCCATCCATCCATCCATCTTCTTCCGCTTATCCGTAGTCAGGTTGTGGCGGTAGCAACCTAAGAAGGGAGGCCCAAACTTCCCTCTCCCCGTTCACTTGTTCCAGCTCCTCCGGGAGAACCCCAAGGCGTTCCCAGGTCACTCTACCTTTTTCCGCCTCATCCTGGCCACTTCTCACTCGGCTGCAAACCGCTCCACTGAGAGCTGCAGATGACGACATGATGAAGCCAATAGCACCACATCATCCACAAAAAGCAGAGATGTGATCCTAAGGGCACCAAAACGGATCCCCTCAACACCTCGGCTGCACCTAGAAATTCTGTCCATGACAGTAATGAACAGAATCTGTATGTTTTAGTTAAAAAACTGAAATGTTATCCCTAACCATTTGGATGCATATTCACAGTGAATTTGTGGATTACACAGATATGTGTCATCCTTCTTTTGGAAAAACTGACTCATGATCTTAACCACAAATCGGACATATTTTTGAAGCTTTGGGGTCCACTTGAGTCTTTCCTACTTAATCCCTAAGATTTTAGTTTTTTTATTATTTTGTTTTACTGCTTCATTTATTCTTGCTGGAGTGTTTTTTTTTTCCTTTGGTTGTGAGGTGACGTGAACTGGAGGAAGAGACTAATAACTCCTTATCTCTTATTCACGTGGGTATTTTGTTATAGTTTTGTTTTTTGTTTCTTTTGTGTGTGTATGTTGGAGGCAGCACAGAATTTTCTTTTGTTCTTTGTTTTGTAACTGATCTAAAATTAATAAAAAAGAAAAGAAAAAAAAGGCTAAACTTAAGAGAGGTTTGGTCTGATTTAATTTTTAAAATATGTTGGCAAGACTGAAGCATCTTGTTCATAATTTTTTTCAGTAAACACTGGTATTATGTATTCAGTACATACATTCTGTCAATAATATTACGCAACATGCTGTTTACTTTGTCTGAAAGGATGTTATGTCTCATGTCATCCGTATTTATTGGTGTTCTCTGCAGAACAAGACAACATTACCCTACTGGAAAAATGACTCTGGGGAGGCATCAGCTTGGCAAAATGGCTGGCATGGTTATGATAATGAGTTCCTTGACATGAGAGGCTTTTTCTTGGCGGTAGGACCAGGTAAATTAATTTCAAATGTTACTATGGTATTTTGTTTTACTCGTGATCTAGTAACACCTTTTTACACCACTTTTAACATCTAGTGTGTAACAGTAACAAAAGATACATTTGCCAAAAAGAGACAAAAATACAAGATTTCCTATAACATAAGATAAAAAAAATAACTCTTTGGGATTGGGATGACAGTTAGCTCCTTTAAGAAAAGTTGACTGCTCCATCTTTTTGTTTATGAGTGATGGTAGAATAAAGTGGGAGATGGACAGACTGACTTGGGCTTTTTCTGCTGAAATCCCAGCACACACAAAAAAAGAGCCAAGCCAAAAAGCAAAACTCTTGATTACCATTCCATCTGCATTCTGACCCTAACCCAGGACCATGACATATGGACTTCAACATCTGTCTTTCAGAAATCCCTCAAAGTAAAACCACAGCTTCTCTCTACCAAAGGTGTCAATTCAGATGGTTTGTAAATGTCTCAACCCATTTTCAAACTATTTCATAGTTGAGAACCAGTCACAACTCAGAGTTGTGACTGGTTCTCCTCTAGAAAAGTTTAGGAAATCTTGGGTTACTCTGACTTATCACAAGTCAAGAACAACATTAAGTTAAGAGCCTTAAATGTTCCGTTTTTCAATCATATATCTAAATAAAATTCAAAATGAGTCATTACTTGTATTCCATTTCAGATTTGTTTACTAATGCTTGCAGTTTGAAAATAGAAAATACATTTAAATCAAGTAAAACTATTTTGGTGTAGTTTAGAGTATCCTTAAATTCTTGTAAAGGTCTGGTGGTTATTTCTTTTGATAGCTTTAGAAAACTGTAACTTGTGTAAATTATTATGGACAAGCCCCCAGTTGTTGTGTTGTTCCCTTTTTCTGTTCCATGCAACAACCAGGTCTGTTGAACAATTCTGGGACCAGACCATTACCCCTCAGAGACACTACATTGAGAAACAATGGGATTTGTTTAAGTATAAAACAATTTTTAATGCCAAAAATGATCAAATGTTACAAGTAATATAAAAGAAATAGATACAGAGTGACATTCACTGTCCAGTTGGGCTCCACCCAGCACACCTTAAAGATTGTAACACAAGATCTGCTTTTATTTTTTCCTCATTCTGCATCCACTCTAAGAGGTATCGGCCTGCTTTGATCAGTTTTGTTTATGTGTGACTGTCATCAGTCTTATATGTTATGGCTATGTAAGCGTGCAGCAGTGTGCATGTGAGCAGATAAGAGAAGGAGAAAAAAATCATATATTCATAACAATCTGGAGAAAGTCTGATTTACCTTGACTAACCAAGAAATCTATTTTATGATATTTGACAACCATTACTAGCTTGATGGATAAATTTAAATAATACACAGTATTTTATGGATATGCTATGGAATACCACCTGTTATCTTATGTCCTCCCACTGTTGTGTGTTTGTTTGGGAGGTGACTGTGGTGTGGTATTTTCATGTTGGAAATCTATAAAATCAATAAAAAGAATTACAAAAAAATACAAGATGTATATTTGGAACAGGAAATGTGTGTTGGTGCTTTGTCAGGTTTTTATGAAATTGTGTTCAAACTGGAATGAGAAAATATAAAGTACAGACCTAAATATATTTTCTTTGTCTACCCAGACTTCAAGAAGAATGTTCGAGCAGCTCCAATTAGATCAGTGGATGTCTACAACCTGATGTGCTGGACTTTAGGTGTACATCCTTTGCCTAATAATGGATCTTGGTCTCGAGTTGAGTACCTACTAAATGGCTCTGAAAGTCCGTTACAGTTTGGAATGCTTTGGACCTGCAGTATGGGTTTACTGGGAGTACTGTTAGAATTTTACTAGAGCATGCAAATGAATTATCTTGTATAGATTTCAGTTGCAATGATCTGCTATGGTTAGTGAAAAAATAATTACAAATTTAATTACACTTATACTTCTGACAAGTACAAATACTGTAATTGTACTTTTAATGTACGTTTCAATTTACTTCTGTTTTTATTTTGCTTGATTTTTAGATTGATAAATACTATCCATGATATCATTTTGCTTTGTATTGTTGTTGGTCAATGTTTTTTTTCCTCTTTTTTTTTTTTTTAATCTAAGAACATTTTTAGTTACCATAAACTGATGAACTAATTAACAGTATAAAAAAAACTGTAACATTCAAGGAGAATATATGGTTGGCCAAATGTCAAATTACAAAAATTGTTCCCCAAAAAACTGAATAACTTCACGTAAAAATGACCACAATGGGTTGGTCTCACAGTTAGAGATTGGCACCACTTGTTTTGTGAGCTTTCTGAGAATCTGCAGTGAACTAAACTGAAAACAGAGGTGCAGTTTTGAAAATTAACAAATGGATAATGGACAAGTTCTGTCAGCAAAGCTGAAATTTGTTGATTGTTACAAAACAATTAATAGGTCCAAATTTGATTATAGGCTATAAGACTGAGAGGAAGAGGGGAAAAAAGCATTATAAAAAAATTTAATGGGACCCTGTGATTCAGATTGGAATCACATGGTGCTCTGTTCCACACTGACTGCTTGTTGTTTTATGTGTTGTTTTTACCGTACATTTTTTTTTAGAACCGCAGTATTTTGGGGTATATTTTTCCTGCAGTGTCTCAACAACAATGCCATGTGCCCTTTAGCATCAATTGCAGGTTGAAAATAACCTGCATGCTGCTCACAAACTGCTGAGGTTTGAGCTCCCATTCTTCTTTAAGAGCAGCCTTCAGGTCATTGTGGCTGAGGGATACAGAGTTAGAGCCTCTACACAATGACTCAACTGAACCCACAGGTTTCCTATCTAAGGTATTTTATCACATAAATAAAGCAATGTACAATAATACTGAAAGCATCAGAATTTTCACATTTAAATGTTCTCCCTAGACACAAAACAGATAAATTCTTGAAAGCTAGCTGTCCTACTAATTAATAAAAAAACACTCAAAGAAATAAAAATAAAAATAGAAAATAAAATAAAAAAGGAACAGGGGATCTCTCAAAGAAATTCAGAAAAGGGCTGTAAAACTTGCTTTGCTGTGGTTTTAGAATCACAAACTGTATATCTAATTTTTTCTAAGCCTATAGGGACATGTAAGATATGTCATGTCCTTTGTTTTGTTTGTATTCAAAATGAGATCATTGTTTTTACACCATGACACAAAACAGTTCACCAGATCTCTTTTCTCAGCCTCTTGTTCATCTCTGATGCAACCAATAACTGCAGAGTCATCTGAGTATTTCTGTAGATGACAAGTCAGAGTTGTGCCATTAGTCTGAAGCGTAGAGAGTGAAAAGGAACGGTGAGAGTACAGTTCCCTGCAGTGCTCCTGTGTTGTTGTTGCTGGTCAGTCTCAAACTGTGGTCTGTGAGCTAGTCATATATCCAGGTGATTGTTCAGGCCTTCACTTGGGTCTTCTGAATTTTCTGACAAAGCAAATCAGGCTGAACTGTATTAAATGCACTGGAGAAATCAAAGAACATGATCCTCACAGAGCTGCCAGCTTTGTCCAGATGGCAGTGGGTTTGTTGAAGCAGGTTTATGACGGCATCTTCAACTCCAACTTCATGATGATAACCAAACTGCAGGGGGTCCTGATATGTGCTTGAATGCTTAGTAAAGTGGAACAACAGGAATCTCTCCAGGACATTCATGATGTTGGATGTCAGGGAAACAGGTCTGTAGTCATTGATGACTGATGGGTAAGGTGGGGAATCAACCACACAAGCCACCTCTTCTGAGCCTGTATCTTTCCAATCCCATATCTTTGGTGCAAGAAATGGCTTATTTGGAACTACAACATTGGAAATCACAATGGGACTGTTGTGTTCAGATTATCTCTGAGACGTGGCTTCACCAGGGAATACCCAATGCAGTCTGCAACTTGCAGGTCGCACTCTGCTCTGCTGGGATAGGACTTTGGATTCTGGTAAAAGCAGAGGGGGTGGACTCTGTATATATGTGCATGAAAACTGGTGTAACAACAGAACAGCTATAGACAAACAGAAGTTGAGAACTTATCTGTTAGGTGTTGGTCACCTGACCCACCACTAATAACAAACAAGAACCGACTTCACACAATGAACACAAAGGGGTATTTATACACAAACAAAGGCTAGCCTACACAATCAAGGGGGATGGGGGGAACAGACCAAGACAGACAATGAGCAAACCTAAACAACTAATTCAATCCAACATATAACTACAACACAAATGTGAAAAAAAAACTTAATACCATAAACCAATTGTACTAATAGTACAATTGGTTTATGGTACAAAAACCAATTAGTTTTTAGTACCATAAACTAAAAACTAAGGTAGATTCTCCAGAGTCAAGTCCCCTGATGGACTGCTCCATGTCTTGGTTTTGCCTTACAACCAGTCCTCTTCCCCAGCCAATCACTGGGTGGGGAAAAGGTGAAGGAAACTCCACATACTGCCCTCTTCTGGAAACTCCATGGGCCAGCATGTTAGGTAGTCAGCGGTAGAGTTCAGCTTCCTAGGAATGTGATGGACATCAAATTGAAATGGTTGCATAATATTGGTGTACATGAATCATATCATTTCAGGTGCACAGTAACCTGCGCAGTTTGGTGGACACATTGTTCCACCGAACTATGTGAGCTGCATTTAATAAAGTGTCATTCGACGTATTAATGCACAAAAAAGAGTTGTGGTGATCTGTATTTATCTAGTTAATTTAATTCCAATAAAAACCTGTTTCCCCTGTCTGATATTGTTTTATTCTTACAAATGCCTCTGTATTTAAAATACTTTAAACAGGTAGGATATTCTAATAAAAGGATCAGTGCATACAGCTACAGCTTTTAATTTTAAATGTATATAAATTGTTCCAATGCTAATCTAACCATAACTCCTAAGCTTCCACTTCAGTCACGTCACTCAAATGTTATCCAATATATTTAACATCAACACAACCCGCTGTAGTTTTCTGTTAACATGACTTGAAAGCTTTCTAAGTAAGTACATCTTACTCATTTTATTTTTAATGAACTCATTTGTGGGCTGGACAAAAATCAACATCAGCAAGCATAAGTTGGTACCGATATGTCTAAGGTCATCATCTTGTTGGCAGAAATGTTCTATAATCTGAATTATGCTGTCAATCGTTGCCTAAATATCTTTTATTTTTATTTATTTTTTACCTCAGAATGGGTCATTTAGTGAGGGTGGTTTCCTCCCATGCTGTCATGTAGCCCAGGATGAAAAACTCAAAATCTGCATTCTAAAGTTTATGCAAGTGTAAATTTTGACTATTGCTGATTAACATTTTTATAACTAACAAACTAGACACCAGTGACACCCTAAAAATCCTAAACACCATCCCCCCAAATGAAAGTCATCTTAAAGAGTGTCCCCTTTAAGATGACACCAAACACTATATTATATACCTTTAACAAATGCTCATATCATGAGCCTAAACTAGACATACATCAATCTCAAAAAACAGAATTTGTCTACAGGGGTTAACTTAATGAGCTGATAACTATGGCTCAGCTACCACTTTGGAAGGGCTATCATACCAAAAATTTTATTCTAGAGACATGCATCTTAAAAAAAAAAAAAAAATATGGATAGACTGTGCCACCCAGAAATGGACCAAAATGTGAAATTTTGGCCTCTGGCCCACGGACTATAAAGGTGCAAAACATAGCATACAAGGTAGACCTATCAATCTTTGACCAACATGGGCTGAGTGGGAACATCTGGACTGATGGTTTGTGGCCTGCATTCACTGTGCTGCACCCTCTGCTCTGGGGCAGACACCTCCAGTTAAGTATCGCTCATATTCAGGATTGCCCCTCGGTGCTTTCCTACTCCTCCCCCAACTCCCCACCTCCGCCAGGCCCGTTGCTCGTTTTAGTTAGAAAAATTATGATTAATAATACTAATGCTAATCATCATCATCATCATCATCATCATCACAATAATAATAAAAACTTTAATTTAAGAAACCGCTTGCCATTTAGATGACAAGCGTCTTTGTTGCTCTGAGCGTTTCACTGGCGGAGCAAATTTATTCCTAAAAGTCAAGTTTATAGTTTATTTAAAGCCGAGAGAGCGGACCAGCAGACAAGTTGACCTCTTAACTCAAACTGGACACAGGCTGACCTGCATTGATATTTACATCAACCCCCTGTGTGGAATTAGTTTTCTTTGGTGAACTCCACATCAAGATAAGAGTTTCTTTTCTTGGTGACACTGTATCTGATTTACTCTCTAACCGCTGATCAGCCAAACATGGAGACTTTAGTTGTGCATGTTGGAGCCAACGATCTGGCAAAGCAAAAATCGGAGATTCTAAAAAAGGACTTTAATATTCTTCTGGACACTATGGGAAAATTAAAAATGAAGTTATTTCTCAGCGGTCCAATTCCATCGCCTCAATGGGGAGACGAAAAACATTCCAGGCTGGGCATGATAAACAAATGGCTGATTAAAACCTGCTCTGCCAGCTCAGTGACCTTCATCGATAACCTCTGGATCTACTGGCAGCGCTTTCACCTCTTTGGAAGAGGAGGACGCAGTCTGAACAAACATGGAATAAAACTGCTCACTGCAAACATTTTTCATTTTATCAACAAGAACAACAATGTGACCATCGCTTCAGAAGAACAGGCTCAAGGATGTGTGACTAGGATGGAACCCTCCGCTTATCAAGAACAAACTATTCCAATACAAACTGATTACGCTGGTGACAGATTGACCGGTTCCCCTCCTCCATCCCCCATTCCTCTCTGCTCCTTTACTCACTCANAAGAACNAAGTTTNCCAGGAAGTCAATCACTAAAGAGAGTCGGGCTGCACCTGAGCCGCCTGAAGATGCTGGTGGAGGATCCGGGTCAGAAAGGAAGGCGGACGGACTCCTCCTCCTCCCAGCAGGATAGTATGGATCAACAGGTTCGCCTCGGCACGACTCTCCGTTGCTCTAACATAAGCAGACCTCACTTCATCTAAGCCACCTGCCTCTGACTTCCCAGAGGATCCAGCGCTCTGCGTTTCTGAGGTCTGAGACCGGGGTCCAGATATTATCGTTACACCCGTCTTCCACCAGAATGTGTGTGGCCCCCCGACATTTCATAGCAGGACATTACCTGTCCGGATCACTAGAAGAAAAGTTAGAAAAAACAGAAATACAAAAAGCAGCGGTCTTAATTCAAAAATTTCTTTGTTTCAATTGGAAACTTCTCATCAGAGAGGTCAAAGGTCACATGTGGGGTACCCCAAGGTTCAATCCTAGGACCCCTTCTTTTCAATATTTATATGCTCCCGCTGGCTCAGGTTATAGCAGGAAATAGGATTAGCTACCATAACTATGCGGATGATACACA